TTCCACCCTCACTAACCCTCTTTCAAGATGGCCGACGGGGTAAAAAAAAGTGTTTACAGGGGTGGGTAAATCGACTCAGGGGGTGATTCTGAGTCGATCTGTACCTATAAATTTCGACCTTTTTTTTCCACCCCCACTATTACATTTCCAAGATGGCCGATGGGGTAAAAAAAAGTGTTTACAGGGATGGGTAAATCGACTCAGGGGGTGATTCTGAGTCGATCTGTACCTATAAATTTTAACCTTTGTTTTCCACCCTCACTAACCCTCTTTCAAGATGGCCGAGGATGGCGCCACGACAATCCGAAAATTCATAACAGAGAATTGATGAGTTTTGAAGATTATTGAGTGCGGTAGATCAGGGGCGTATTACGATGGGGTCCCACGGGTACCAGCCGCTAGATGATCTCACTCACAAGCATAGAAATATCGCGAAATATCGGAAAACAATTCTATCAATAATAATAATAATAATAATAATAATATGAATATAGTTATAATAATGATAATAATAATAATAGGTGGAGGTAGGAATACGATAGAAAGCACCCCTTCATGGAAAAATCTAATTACTCCATTTCCCGTGATTTTCAGTGATAATACTTTTGTTGAAAAATTTAAAAATTATTAAATAATTGAGGGGAAAAACGTTAAATGTCGGAAAACAATTATATTATTAATCATAATAATAATAATAATGTGAATTCGGTTATAATAATGATAATAATAATAATAATAATAATAATAGGTGGGGGTAGAAGCAGGATAAAAAGCACCCCTTCATGGAAAAATCTAATTACCCCATTTCCAGCGATTCTACTTTTGTTGGAAAATTCAAAAATTGTTAAATAGTTGGGGGAAAAATCGTCCCGCAAATATAGGCTAGATCGACTCAGAGTAGTGTAAAACGTCGCGATTTATTGGTTCCTCGGAACCTTTTTTGTTCAATGGTTCTATTTTTCTTGACAAAATAAACAATTGTTAAACAATTGTTTAGTTTGTTAATATTGGCCGAGATTTGGTATTCCCTCGGAACATCTATTTTTAATGGCTTCCTTTTTGTTGAAAATTTTGAAATTTTTTCAACAAATTGTTGAAAA